AACCTAGAAAAGCAAAGCCTTTTGTTATTTAAAAATAAATAAAGTATTTTAGTAAAAAATGCGGTAATTTTTTCACTACTGATACTAATATGGTATTTACCCGTGAAATCACATTGTCTACCTGTTTTGGATTTTGGTACATTAATGATTCTCTAGGTTGGAAATGCTTTAAGCAAAAAGATGAAAATATTAACTCACACTTGTTAAAAAAATCAAAAATTGGAGTGAGACTTCACTTTTGATAACTAAATGTGAAAGTGAGAAAATGAAATTTTTTGATTTTATTTGTACGAGTGGGGTTTTAATCAAATAATCCTTTTCTCTAAAAACTCCAAATCACTTCCCTTACACTGAAACACAATTGTATATCCCCTATGTCCTCCGTATCAATCAAACAGATCATAATCGCCCGGTTTGTGGCTTTAAGTAAATAATAATAAAAAAATTATGAACATATACGAGTATGAATGTTCACAATAAATTAATCGTACAGCATATGTCACGTCACCACAAAAATTCCAATCCCGTTAATACAATAAGCTCCCATACCTGCTAGGAGTTTTGTTTCTTTCTGTATTTTTGTTTGTCTTGATAATTATGATAAATGAATGCAGATTGCTTCTTTCTGTATTTTGTTTGTTTTGATAATTATGATAAATGAATAAAGACTTTTTGTAAGGCATCATTTGCTTTTTGATAAATAAGTTTCCTTGAGTCTTTTCTGTATTTCCGTATCCATGTCTAATGGAAATTTAAAATAATCCAATCATTAGCCTGATTATTATCAAAATATTTATTTTATTTTTGCTTTTTCATTATTTAAATTGCTCATTAGTAGAAAAGTCATGGAAGAAAAATTTTGAGATCACATAACTGATAATCATTTTCTGATCCAACTGGAGCAACTGGAGCGCATGTAAATTATTTTTGGCAGATCATTGCATTATACACAAAGATTACATAATCTCTTGATCCTTTTTTCTTTCTTCGTGAGAAGTTTAAAGAAGTGCATTATTTGATGACTGCTCTGCAGAGTTAACTTCGAAAGAGTTTTAGCTATTATAACATAGAGAGCGTGGGTGTGAGAAGTAACAATTGTAAATTGTGAACAATTATGGTGACAGCTGCTTAATTGTTACTAATTTGGCAAAGAGAAGCAGGACTCAGTGTTATAATTATAATGCGGGTTACCCATTATTTATGCACGAATATAGTTATACGGTAGTTATTAAGGAAGCAAGTTAACGTTAAGAGGTGGCTAAATGTTAATAATGATTCCAGTTCTGACAAATGTTTAATAATTGTTCCTGTTTTGGGTATGATTACATGTGCAGTCGCCACAAAAGTAACGCCCAATTTGCATTTGTAACAAAATATGCGACGCGTTTTCTTCTTTTACTTTTAAAAATACACTAGGTGAAAATTTTTTTAGGTGTAAATATGATACCTATCATATCAGTAGGCCATCTTTGACAAGGATAAAAATAGTGATTTTTATGAAGTTATGAGTGCCAAGCAAGTTGCAAGAAAAATGTGATGGAACCTAGTAACAATATAATGATCTCTTGCCAAGCACAAAAGAAACAGGAAAAACAAAAATTTGCCACTGTCTGAGAGACCATAAGCACATAACGATCAAGAAAAAAATGCATATATGCAAGAAATTAAGACATCCTGAGCCATTTCACAACATTGGTAATAAAAAATCTTTGCAAAACCTACCTGAAGATTCTCTAAAGTAATTTGACCCCTTTTCATAATATAATTGTTTATTGTGGCTTGCTTGGTGCTGATTTACTCTATTTGAATTTATTTCATTTTTTCCCCTAATGTAGATCAAGTTTTATTTTTTTTCAAACATCATGTTCTCTCAAATCAAGAAAAATATGTTGTAATCCGATGATAATGTAATGGTCTCTTGCTAAGTACAAAAGAGACAGGCAAACAAACTTTATCATTGTCTGAGAGACCATAGGCTTTTAAAAATCAAGAAAAAATATGCACCTATCCAAGAAGCAAAAAAGACATCCTGAGCTATTTCACAACATTGATAATAAAAAAATTCATGTAAAAGCTTATCTAAATATTCTCTAAGGTAATTTGATACCTTTTCATAATATGATTTGTTCATTGATTTGAGAGAAAAAATATGTTTCAAAAAAATAAAGCTTGATCTACATTAGAGAAAGAAATCATGAATAGGATCAAATAGAGAAATCAATGAATATTGTGTTCTCATGACCCAAACTTCATAGAAATGTCTCAAAGTCATCAGGGAACAATATTCTAATATGTATAAGCTTTCCAAGGATCACGAAACAACTCAAGACTACTCTGAAGGAAATTCGATGTGTTGGCTTTTTAGGAGGTTATAGGCTCAATGTCTTGAGAAATCAAAGTGATATTAGAGCCATATGAAGAGCTAATAATGTATAGCTAGTGATAAATAATATTTTTATATTCATAAGACAGAAATAAAATAAATCCAAAATTTTATTTTTTAAAAAAATCGGATATTACTTTTTGTGGTGACTGTACATGTATAAAGTTCGTATAATCATTCGGTACTATTAATTTCCACTTGCCAATTATTACGGTACCATTTTGATGATCATTATACATTGTTTGCTGCAGGGTTAGCAATTGGCTATTTGGCCAGAATTGCTCATGGCTATTTGGCTGGCCAAATACTGGCCAAATGACCAAAAAAAGTTTTTGGCCATGGCCAAATTTATAACCAATCAAAATTTAATTAATATAATTAATTAATATTTAATTAATAAAACAAAAAACTATTAATTAATACAAAAAAAATCATTGATTATCTTATGATCAAATGAAAATTCTAAATTATCAACAAAAATATTACTTATTTGCCATTGCATTATTATCTAAAGCAGGATGTGTTTGATTTAGTAATAATCTTTAATTTCAACTTCAGATTCATAATCTAAATCAATTATAGCATCATGTTCTGCTTCTTCTTCTTGTTTTAATAATTGGTTCATTAATTAAATTATTAAAATCATTAATTAATGATTCATTATTTTCTTCTTCTAATATATTATCCATATTATTATTATTAATTTCTTGATTATTATTTTCTTCTATAATTAAATCTGTATCTTCAATAGAAATTATTGGTCCGACATTATTTCTTTTAATATACTTTATTTTTAAGGGAAGAAATGCTTTGCTGGTTTAACATAAATAAAAATAAAATACATTTATTTATATGAGTGATTTATTTTAATCTTTTAACTATACTGTATATGTGCTGGATTTCATATGTCTGTAACGTTTATACTACTTTGAGTGTCACTGTATGCACAAACGAATAGGATTTTCAACACATCTAGATTTTGGCCGTGAATAGAATTTTGGCTGTCGATCTTGGCTGATGGCCAAATTATGACCAATGGCCAAAAAAAGTTCTTGGCCATAGCCAAATGCCAACCTTGGTTTACCGTTTTAAGATCGATTATTTCTAGTGATAGTAGTAACTTCCATAATAGGGATAAAATTAAGGAATTACTTTAGGAATTACAGAAGTTATAGTTGCTACAGTAACACACTCTCATATAGGGAGAAAAAGCCATAATTATCTAACGGTCAGTCGTTATCTAAATTGAAAACGAAGACAGTTCTTCATCTAGATCAATGAATCCCCAAGGTTATTTTTTATATAATTTAATAACGGAGATAGTACTTCAATTGAATTCCCAACGGTCATTTTTGATAACGCAAGTAAATTCTTCATCTTAATCTGAGAAATTCCCAATGGTTGTTCTTCTAGAATTTGACAACGGAGATACAGTAGTTCTTCATCTGGGTTGAATAAATCCCCAACGGTCGTTTTTCTAAAATTTGATAACGGAGGTAGTTCTTCTGATGAAAGAACTGTCATCAGGACTTATATATTTTTGTGCATGATTTTTGACTCTGATATTGAATATTGCGTGCAATTGTTTATAAATCTGACGGACAAATTTTCATTTACTTTAGACATTTTCCAATATCTCCAATTTTCCTTTCATTTTAGTGTTTTTCATATTAAATTATCGTTAGAACTTTGAAAAATCATCTTTTGTTACATCAATATGTTCTCGGACATATCTTTAATGACAGAAGTTGCCTGAAATTAATTTCGTGTTAACAATGATTTCACTACATAAATTATTGGTGATTTCAAGAACTTGAGGCGGGGTTATTGGATCTCTCTCTGGAGATAAGAATGTATCCAGTGGACTTCCAGAGGTTATTATTCATTAAGAGGTACATTTTGTGTGGCAAAACCTTTCGAGTATAGCATCCTGTTTGTATATTATTTTATTTGCTTTTATACAATAATTTGGCGCCGCATAGATGGGCAAAAATGGTGGTATAAAAAACTATCGTTGCAAAAAAGATTTTTGTTTATCGTGCGTGTTCATAGATGCTATCGCTATGGCAAAATTTTATGGTCCTGGTACAACATTCCGATAAAGTTTTAACATGAAAAAGCAATTTGGAAGTCATTTGGATATACATGTTTATGTGAAAATCTTTTGGCTATGTATAAAATGAACGAATGCTCAGCTTAAACATGAACATTTACCCATGGTTTGTTTTTTACCATTAATACGAATAAGTATAACGAAATTCACTGGGGTTTCACAGATGAGCTGATAGATATTTTTTTGCTATTGCCACGAATAAGTACAATGCATTACTATCGGTTTAAAAGTGAATTTTTTAAATAAACAGAAATTTCGCAAAACTATGATGCTTGATGAAAAACGCTAGAGAATCGACAGTTGACTGTATAATAAATGTTTAATTTTCATTAAAATCAACGAGGGTGTAAAAAAAACTTTAGTTAATATTATATGTAATAGTTTTTTCGATTGATTTCATTTTTTTTAATAATCTACCCCGTAAATTGTATAATAAATTATACCCCTAGCGGATTAGAGTGTGGGAAGAAAGGATATTGATATATAAAGGTTTTTCAATTCTTTTCAATCTCCCCATGTTGCGATATTCGCATGAGTTTTTACTTTGGCTTTTTTTTGATGTTTCTTTGGCCACCAAGTTTCTTGAAAATTACCTGAGTTCTCTTCAAGTTTCTTTGGTGTATTAGATTCCTGGGGAGCCTAGGTTTCTTTGTCAGAGTTTCCTCTCGTTAAAGGTTAAAGGTTTTTCTTTTGGAATACACTCTTGGCTTGACTTTTTACTCCTTTTTCAAAGCAAAATGGAGTGGTCGTTTCTAACTAGTCAATTTATTACTGTCCCGTTTATTATCCTTTAACTCTTTTCTTTTTACTCCTTTTCAAAGTAAGATGGAGTAGTCATTTCTAACTAGTCAAAATTGTTACTGTCCCTTTAACTTCTTTAACTTCTTTTTATTGGAAACTTCTGGTATAGTATCGTGACAGCGATAACGGTTGTTCCTTTCTTGGTTAATTTCGAGATTATCTGAGTGTTGCTTTACCAAGAAGTAATAGGATTTTCTCTTGGTTAATAATATCCTAATATTTCATTCTTTGCTTGAACTTGTCTTTCCGGTATAATTGGCTCTATGTCTACCTGGTTTGACTACTGAGAATATTTCGAATGGCATTCTCAGTTTTTAAATAAATCCCACCAATTTAAGTGGTTTAGGGAGTTATGCCACTTATTTATTGCTTGAAAACTCCTGAGTTTTAAAGAGTTTTTCTAGGATAAAATTGAGTTTCAAATCTGATATTTTATCGGTGTCTTCTGATTACAGACAGCCGTTAGTTGAAAGGTTATTACCTCCTATTTCTAAATGGTGAAGTTCAGGGCTTTTGTTAGGTTAAAAGGTTCTTACTTCCTACTCCGGTTTGCGATGATAGGCCTTCGAAAGTTAAAAGAGTAGTCCTCCCTATTTCTAAATAGTGAATTTAAGCCTTTCGTTAGGTTAAAAGGTTCTTGCCTCTACTCTAGTTTGTGATGATAGGCCTTTCGAAAGTTAAAAGAGTATTCTCCTACTTTTAAATGGTGAAGCATGGCATTTTTATTTGTTAAAGGTGGATTACGTTCCACTTCTAAGTGGTGATTTAGGCTTTCGACTTAAAATTCATCAATGAGTTTCTTAGAGTTTTCTGTGATATAACTCGAATTTCAAATCCAAAGATTCTTCCTTGGTATTACCGGTTCTCTTTAAAGATTCTCTTCCTAGGGAAAGCTGTTGTTAATTCATGGCCATAGTTGTTTCAACGTAAGACTAGCCCTGTTATAATAGAGAATCTTAAGCGTCGTTCCCTTTGGTTCGTCGTGAGTTACTCTAAGTCTTGACTTTGCGTTAAATAAGACTGGGTTCTGACTTGTGTGCACTCGAGCTCCTCGGGGTTGATTATTTAACCTTGTTGTAATTGCTTTGGTTGTTTATGGCCAGAGATCGATGGGTACTCGGGGTCGTAGTCGTAGTATTTTTTTTTTTTTATCTAAACAACACTTTCTACGAGTTTCTAGCCAATTCTCATAGATCGTATTATTCCATAAATTGGGATTTTGCTCTGGTGATTCCTAATTGGAATGAGGATTCGAATCCTTCCAAATCCATGCGAGAGTCATTTATTAATGAAATCGCGTTTTGTTTCGTTCTAACGTTTAAAAACCTCTTTAATATTTGATAATAATAAAATATATATAATATATTCGTTTGTAATATACTGCCACGGTACAAATTTTTTGTTCGTGACTAGTGTTGGGAGATAGTGATATCGTGCTGTATACGTAGAATAATAAGATTTGAGGAATTAAGTGAGTTTCGGAATTATTTACGGCGTGAGAATTTGGAAGAAATGAGAATTGATATTTCGAGAGGAAATTCAAGAGGGAACATCTCTCGCTCATGTCATTTCTCATTGTGCTCTTGTTTTCACGCATTTTGTTCTCGTCCATTTTTTACTTGCTTTGCCAGCTGAAATCTAATTCATCAACCATGCCTTTCATACTTTCAGATTGAACTCGCCCTATAGATTTGTGTACTGCTGTTGGTGGTGGCAAACGCTGGACTCTATAAATGATGAAATTTCTTGTCAATCACCTTGTCGAAAAACGCGTCAATCTTTTTTGGCATTATTGAATTTCGTGCAAAATGCATCGGTGCTATATAAAGAGTTATTAATATGGAAAAATTCATATGGAGATAATCTAACTAATAATGACAATATTATTAATTTTTTGTTCTCGCCTACCACGTTAACCCATATTCATCAACAATGTTGTATCGTCTTTGTCGACCGGTAAATTCTTGCTTTACGAGGTCTGTTTTAGTGCAAACTACCAATATCGGCACATAGATATTTCTATTTCCTATCTGTAACTCGAATTATATTCTTTTATTTTAGAATACATCAAACAATAATAAAAATCACCATCATAAACATTAATCATTGCAATTCATTAAATTATACGGATAAAAAATACTTACCACAAGACATGACACCAGTAAAATTTTTGACTTAACCATCAGCGGCAAGAATTCCAGCAACATACGTTCTGTGTCTGTTATACATGTATTGATCCAATGGATCATCACTTTGCGGTGTATTAGTATCATTAAACGCGTCACGAACAAAATTGAATTTTACACATCATAGGTAGTAAGAGGAAAAATCACGTGTGCTTGTCATTGTGTTTTGAATGTCATGCTTTTGTTTGCTGTATTTCACGTATTGTTGATTGGTGTGCTTCGTGTATTGTTGCTGATAGTTTGTTAAAGAATTGAAAATAGTATTGATAAGAAAATTATAATGATAAAATAAAAATAAAAAATCCAGTAAAAAGTATCCATAATCAAAAAACCACATTTTCTTGACTTCTAGTACAATTGAAAATAAATTTTTTTTGAAAGTTCAATCTTTTCAAGAATTAGCCATCACTTTCACTTGCTTGTTCGTCATCCAGGTCGTTGCCTCAGACTAATGGATATAATTAACTAATCAAGTTAAGAAAAATAAAAATTGTTATTATTTTAAATGTTTAAGCTGCATGTGAAAATACATACTATTTTACTTTCTATATTCCACACATTTAATAGCTTCATCATGGGATCTGAGAATCGTATCAATCCCTCAAACCTAATAATTCATTGAAATTATATTTTCAAAAGAGTCATTATTTTCAAAAATATCAAGTGATACAAGTGGTTATATTTTCAGCTGTTTCTCCAAACCATCATTGAACGCGTGAGCCTCATCTGAGAACAACAATCAAGTACTGGAACCTTGTGAGTATAACTTGTTTTAAGTGGTGAAGTATTATGAATGTCGTACAATCTTATACTCTACAGAATGGTTATAACGTTCGATAAGGCAAATGAGATGGTTGTATGCATACATGCAGAACAAGCGTAAAGAAATCATATTTTATTCCAAGAAGAGACTAGTAAAAGATCCGTATTTGTAGGGCTAAACACAATTGATGAAATAGCGTCAGCCGGCATATCATTTAATTCGTATTGCTGCATGTTTACAAGGGCTGTAAAGATCTTCGACGTGCACGTAATCAGAATCAACTGTTGTAAATCTATGTAATTCACGAATCAACATGATGTGATTTATCAATTTATCGATGGTTGTTGAATTGTTGATATCATTGATACAGAAAAAATGTGATGCCGTTTCTCATCATTTGGCCTCCAAGGGAAAAACAAATAAAAACTCCACACATAAAACCAGCACTGTTATCGCTCTTCGAGCAAAATCCCCTGCTGATTAGTGTACTCCTTATTACCAATGACCACAGCCTCAATTCGTCAAACACGAAGTAGACGAAACCAGCTGCCTTTTCTTTCTTATCGAATATCAGCCTTGGAACTGAGACTTTTTCTACCTTTGAGCAAACGCATCATTGGGTAACTAGAGTTCCCGGCCAATATCCACAGAATGATAACATCCATAGTGGCAAAGAAAACAAAATTTACAATGCTAAATGATAAACTTTATCAATTGATATACCCGGCAAGCCTGGTAAACTTACAGACTTTTTCACACATTTTACGTTTAAAGAAAAATTATCTTATCTGTGAAATTCCACCATAGAAGAAGCGATTGAGAATAAAAAGTGCAAGTACTTCTTGTTCGATATACTATGAATCCAAAACACAGGAATAAATTAATTTGTTATCATATTTACCCCGGGTATCCTTGAGAAACAACACAGCATAAGGTTTGGAAAAGCTGTGCCTGTCATACTCCAACAACGGTATTGTTGATGAGGGTTGTATGGATGATGGTGCGGTCACCTGTCTAATTCCTCTTTGTCGGTTTAGCAGTTGTTCTTGGTCTAATAGTTCCGCCTAAATAATGGCATACCCAGCACATACATATTCACCGGGTATGGAGAATATGTATGAGCTGTGTGTGCGCTGCTATATGTAGATGTGTGTTACATGTATGTGGTTTTCTTTATAAGATATGATTTTCATTTTTTTTTGAAAATAGAAGATTAAAAAATTTTATTTTTGGTACTAAAATGTGAATACATCAATATGTTAAAAATCTCTGATAGATGCTTGATATATGCTTTATAGAGAGAGAAAGAGAGAGAAACATTATTTTACAAGTGTTTGTTTATTTTTTATATTATTTCTTTAGCTTATTATTAAGATCATGATAAATATATGATTAAATCACCAAATCTTGTACTAGCAAGTCTGAAAACGAGAGTGACATACAGACATATCTAATTGACAAAGAATTTTTTCGATGATGCTCCGAAGGGGTCGAATCGGGTCAGGTTTTGAGAAATATTCGCACTCGATCTGAATATAAAAACTAAATATAAAATACTCGGGTTAGCATTTATATAACCCGAGATATTCCATAAAAAGAATTACGAAGACGATGATGAACATGAATTATTTATAAAGTCTTGACCTACTTTCATTTTATGTATTATGCGCTAATGTAATAAGTGCTTTTAATAACGGACACATATGAGATGCTACTAGTGGGGAAGAAAGAAATTTCAGATTTTTAAAACATTACAAGTGGACATTCTTTCCGCCTTGAAAAGATATCTATCTACTAGTTTATCAGGAAGAAATAATGCTCTGCAAAATTTATTAATTGAGACTATTAAAAGAGCTCATGGCGTTCATTCAAGACATTGATCTAGAGTTTTAGAGTTGTTGATCAGTAGTATTTTTTCAATCGCAAATTGTCAGCGCTAATGACTGAAAAAATTTTGAAATTGTTAAGAAATCTAGCTGTAAGTTTTCTTATATTATGACATTTCAGTTTAATCGTAAAATATACTCAATTTTTTATTGATAAATTATTCTACAGTAAATTTAGAAATTGAAATTCCCGGCTAAATCTTTACAAAATAATTTAGATGCAAAAGATACCTTTATAAGAGATAATTCATTAAAAAATAATGGTATTTAATCGCGATAACTAATATTCCTCCATTTTCTTATATGAGTTTTATCTCAATGATTTTTTAGGATGGTTCTATATATCTTTATTGGTGGTTACTGCATCAAAAATTTGTTAATAAACTTGATCTCCTGATTCTATAATTATGAGAGCCACTATATAATAATGTAATTTTAAAAAAGAATATAAATATTTGTCAGATAACTCCAAATTATTATGTAATTTGTTCTTTTGTATCTGAGCAGTTAACTATTTTAACTGAATAAAATAATTTGAGATTATCTGATTTTGATCTATATTTGATTTCATTCAGATTTTCTTGTTATAAAAATTATTTAATAAATATTCATATTTAAATAACTTATTATTTAATTTTAATAATTAATATTAAAATTATTAAATTCTAATTTTTAATATATACTGTTCTGATAGAAAGTAATGGCGAGATGGCTATTAAATTATTATTAAAGATTACAGAAAATATTTATTCCACTAAAATCTATATTATAAGTGTAAATTAATCAGTTGAATGATATTACTTATTGCACAAATACCTGTTTTCTAAGATAATTTTTGTAATATCAAAGATTATTTACAATTGTATTAAATTGAAATATTTATAATAATGTTTATATTTCAAAAAATATATTAATAAATATGTCTTGAGTAATTAATTAAAGTTATTCAGCTGATATAATTATAATTATTTTCAAATCTATTTAAAACTATTGTATACATCTTGAGATATAAAAATAAATGTATAAATGAAAAATGTATTTATCAATTTTTTAAAAAAATTATTGAATTATCATTAATAAAAAATGAATAAAAACAGATGAAATATTAATATATATAAAATATAATATGCCAATTATATATAGTATTTAAATAAAAGTTTAGATAAAATTATTATGTAAAAAAATTCTATTTTAAATAAATTTAACTATTATTACTTTCTATTAGAGCTGTATATATATTCTATTTATAAAAAATAATTTTATTTTTATTAATATATATTCAATTTTATAAAATAATATAATTAAAATTCTTAAATTAAAAGAATTTTATTATATTGATTTTATTTAATATTTTTTTAATATTATTATAGTAGTGAAGTGATAATAATAATGCAAGTAATAAAGACAAACTTATTTAAAAAATTTGTGATCTCGAAGAATTCATAAACATTAAATTTAGAAATTATGAAAAAATTAATGATCATAACAGATACTCTACAATAATAAAAATTGAAAAAGAATTGGTCAATGAAGAAATTCTATTTTGAGAATTTGATGAATATAAAGTTACTATAAAGTTTCGTAATATTCTTGATTTATTACTCATCTTGCTTCAAGTGTGATCAGGACATTCGAATTCTGTATATAAACAAAAAGAATAATCAATTTATGAAATGTACAATAGCTCATTTAGGCTGTGCTCAAAGAATTGATTTTTAAAATAAACACAAAGACGACCAATCTGCAAATCAAATAAGCGAAGCGTGATTTTCTATTAAAAGTTATCCATGTAATAAAATATGATAATCAGAATAGATCTGTATGAGCAACATGTAACTATATCTGATTATTCACAATGATTCATATCAGGTACGTATTATCATTTTTACTCGAGCTTGACAAAGTTGCTAAAAAAGAGTGCTTAAATTTGCTATTTATGGTCATACAAATAAAAGTAATATAAAGTTCTAAATTATAGTTTTTCTATTCTGCTTAAGCCAACATCATTAATTGTAGCTTACTTTCAGCAAAAGCTTTATACTTTCCTGTACATATAGCAATTAATCGAACAATTGAATACAACAAGTAAAATATTAATAATAGGAATAACTTACGTAGCATTCGATATCACAAGACAACCCCATTAAACCAAACAGGTCGGTGTTGTTAATAAAAAAAGTCGGTTTACCGAGGTTATTTGGTAAATTTAGTTTAACGAGGGAAATTTTCTATAACTATTCCTTAACCCAGGTCCGTTGTCTCGAGGTTTTAATTAATGATTCTGTTTGACTTGTAATATCTTTTTCTTATAATAATCATTAAGATATGGACTAGCAAGAAAATTCGTTATCGTGGATTTTTCTTATTGCATCTGTAGAAAATATGTAAGATATTGATCTTGATGAAAAAGTTCAGGTTTTTTCACAGGATTGTTGAAAGTTTATTTTATTAATAGAACAATGCCTAGAATTTATCAACACACCAAAAATGTATCAGAAATTGCAATTTTTCGTTCAATCGCTAAAATCATGGTTTACAGTGTGTCAAAAAAAACCGGAAATTTTAATTTAGTTATATTCAATGAATATTTATTAAATTTATATAAAATTTTAAAAATATATATGCTAGATAACCTAGTGAAAAGTTTACTTAAAAGTATTTGATAGCTTGCTTATCTTAATAAAATTTTTCATAAGTAATATTTTTTTATTAAATGTTTTTTTGAAAAAATTGATTATAAAAAATTTAAAATACTTTTTTAATCTTTTTTTATTGTTATTCAATGAATATTTATTTAAATTATATAAAATTTTTCATTAGTAATATTTTTTTCTTAAATATTTTTTTGAAAAAATTGATTATAAAAAATTTTAAATACTTTTTTAATCTTTTTTTATTGTTATTCAATGAATATTTATTTAAATTATATAAAATTTTATTTATGTATACTTGATAATCTAGTAAACAAGTTTACTTAAGATTAATTTGCAAAATAATAATCTAATTTATTTATAATAATTTATTTAAGTTTTCTTATTATTAAAAATTTTTAAGTTTAAAAATATAAATTATAAAAAATTTTAATAAGATAAGTGTTCATGTAGTCTTAAATAAAGTTGTTAATCATACTCTCAAGTATATTTATTTAAATTTTTATGTTATTTAAATAAATATTTATGGAGAAAATTAAAAATTCCGGTTTTTTTTACACTCTGTAAATAAGAAAATCAGTTATCTATTTTTAGGGTCTACCCCGACAGTTCAAGATAATAATGGTTCAAATCCCGATATCCAAGTTCTGGCGTCTAAGATCCCGAAAGGTTCGAAATCTCAATGGTTCAAGATCTCAGGTTTACAACTCGGAATCTAGCGACAATTAGAGCACAGCAATATTGTATAAAATACAATATTAGCGAGTTTTTACTAGTAATCCGGCATGAAATAGCATAAAGTTCATTGAAGTAAAAAATTGAAAAAATAAATAATAATATGAATAAGAAAAAGGTAATAAAATATAAAAAAAAATAAATGAACTATAATTAAAAGTGAACGAGACAAGAATCAAACATCGTCGATTTTTAAGTTAATGAATGATAACAATGTTATATGAAAAAGGAATTACATTTAAAAAATCAATCTTTCTTAATAATAGCATTAGACCAGAGTTTCAAATTTTCCTGTTTCAAAACTAATGTGAAAAGAATATAATAAAATGTTCAAAATATAAATATATTTTTTCAAAATAAAAAAACTATCATATTCTTATCGTTTCCTCCATTATACTATCGTTATACATGTATAAACAATTTATAACACGATATGAGTTAATTTGCGACCATACATGTAGAGTACCACATATGTATCGCTGGTATGTTTAATTTAATTGGTCTTACGTGATTTGTGTAAGCTGATGAATTGGTTCAAATTTAATATATATATGTTGGTCTTCGAATTATCCATCTTCGGATTAACAAGTTTCCCATGTACATGTAGTTGACTTCAAAAGATTACCCCAGAAAAAATTTCACGGTACTTTGGATCGGATGGTCGGTTATTTCTCTGCATCGGTCAGGAGTGTATAACCGAATAAAAGGCAGATCATATCATTTTTTAAATTAAATCGCAAGATATGAAATATTTTAAAAATTATTATGAAGTTAGAGGTGTTGAGGATATATTTCGAGTGTGGTCTAAAATTTTTCACAAGGATCATTTTGTTAGAACAGAGAAAGTGGTTTCTTAGACAAAATTTCGATTGGTTTTGCCACATAAAGTTGATCAATATCCTCAATATCCGATCTTCCGACGCATCCGATCTAAATTACCGTGAAATTTTTTCCGGTTATGCTGGAGAAGTCGGTAATTGCTTCAAAAAATCATAATCGACTAATTGTAACTAACCAATTATCGTTATCAATTGATTTCAAGATTTCGATCATTCGGAATGTCGTTCTTTCGAGATTTCGAAATCCCACGTGCCAATTAATTTTTTCACAATGAGTCTATTTCCCGACAATTAGATGTCGGAGATATCGTGTCCCCAAAGTTGATTTGATTACGCATGCCTTTTACCTTTAAACATTTTTTGAAATCATGTAAAAAATTGATATAACGATAACGATAACGTACATGTAAATCGTGATCACACAAATCACGTTATAAAATCATACGGGATATCTGAGATTTTTGCAAATTCTTTATTTGGACACTAATCTGCATTATGTCAACTATGGATACCGCTACTGCTACTGTAGCTAAAAATAACGATAATGATAAAGAAAAACAAACTCTCGATGAGCTATTAAATGTTTACTATTCAAAAAAACGAGTTTTACAGGTAGACGTAACGCTTGCTCCACACATTAGAGATTGGTTACGTAAGAGAAACCTTGATCAAAAATATATTTTGGAATTGATGTTAAGAGATGAAAATTCTTCAGTTTATGCAAGTCTTCTCGGTTTTTTTTATCTATATGGAATTGGAACAACAGTTGACAGAAATTCAGCTCTCAGATGGTACCAAATCGGTGCTGAACAGGGAATTTTTATCGCTGAGTTTCATACAGCATTTTTTTATATCGAAGACAACAGACTAGATGAGGGATTTCGTTTATTCCAAAAATCCGCGAATAACGGTTCAGATATTGCTCGACTAGGATTAGGTTGGTGTTATGAATTCGGTTACGGTTTTCCTCAAGATGCGAAGAAAGCATTGGAACAATTTCGTGAAGTAGCTCTACGAGGTAATTGCGGAGGAATGTATTATTACGCAGTAGCTCTTTCAGATGGCATCGACGGACAAGCCAACATGAGCGAAGCAGAACTTTGGTTTAAAAAAGCTGCCGAAGCTGGCCATTGGGATGCACAAAATACGATCGCGGAGATTTATTGGTATAAGAAACATGATTTACTTCGAGCTTATTACTGGTTTTTGAAATCTGCAGAGAATTCGTGCCCGTACGCTCAACGAAACCTCGGGAGGTTTGAATTTTGCGAGAAACAGGATACACATGCAGCAATTAAATGGTATAGACGTGCTCTAGGTCATGGATACATGACGAGTTTATTAGATTTTTTAAATGGATAAAGCCAGATGTAAAATTTAGAACTCTACACTGGTTCGAATTATTATTTACTCTATTCTGGCTTTTGTTTACTATGTCCCTTCGTCTTGTTATTAGCCACTTATAAAGATACGTATTTCACGAGTTTATTGAACACGAATGTACTAGTTTGTTGAACACGAATGTATATAAAGTTTGACGACATAACAATAAAACATTGAGCAAGTAAGTGGATTGTTTATGCGAAAAATACTTTCGTATTACGTTCACGGTAAAGTTATCGCTACATATACATGTACAATGATAAAACAGTAACATAATCGATATTTTACAAAATTTAATACGTATATTTAATAATAATGTATAAACTAAAGAAACACAGAGAATACATTTATAAGAATATAATATAGACAAAACTATTATAAAGAGACGGCATTTTCATCAGTAAAATATTTTAAACTATAAAGAATCTGCAATAAATTCCAGAATCCTTTGATTTCTACTTGACTAAAATATTAGCAACTAGAAAAAACTAATTTTAACCATACAATTTTATTATACTTTTTTTTATTGAATGTGCCTAATTTTCTAGTTTTAGGAAATAAAATTTTTTTATATTTTTTATTTATAAATTTTCGGAGTTATTTGTAAAAAACACCAATCAATTGTTTGAGAAATTTAATTAAAAATAGAGTGCTTAACCATATCCGTGCAAACTTCTACCCAAATTCTTTGAGCTTTTTTCATTAGATTTATCTTAATCTCTACTCTCAGAAAATATATTTTTTGCTCCTTTAAAAAGAATCATTTTTGAATAATGCCTGGAAGATTCGAACTTGCAAATCTTGAACATGGTGAAATCGTTGATTTATTGAAAGGCAAAAAAACAATAAGTGAAATCAATAAAATATTAAGATACTTAAATTTATAGTTGGTAACGTAATAAAATCGAGGTCAACTATAGATCTGAAATATCAAATGATCATGTAAAATATATACATGAACAAATTGATAAATTTATTGAGAGTCAATAGGTAAATTCTTTCAAAAATATCTGGTGAAGTTAGTAAATACAAAAGTGATCAATTTAATTTAAATGAGGATTACAGAATTTCTAGCGAACCAATTTTTATAAAAAAGATATATTCTGAAAGCTTAGAATTTGGGGAGTCTGAAAAAAAAAGATAAAGTTTGAATCATTGGTTGTGCCATAAATCACATTTAAAATTGTCGATCATTTTTAAATGATCTTGTCTGGATACTTTTAGTCAGGCCGGTGTAGTTCTGACTATTTTAAAAGCCAGCTAAAGATACTATTGAACAATAAAAAATATACTAGATAGAAAGCCAAGGATTATTTTCGAGATTACCTGAAATTTTCATATTCATCCATATTAGAAATGATTAAACCAATGATTTATCTCTGACTTCAAGAAATCCGGGCTGACAAGGGCTAAATCACTATCTCCAAACACAGGACCAGTGTAATCTTTCATGTCTACTCAGAATATACCTATCGCTTTGTTCTAGATCAAATGAAAAAATAAAATTACTTGATTTTTCAGTTCTCTTGTTATTTTCGTATGATTTTCATGGAAACTGATTGTAGCCACCGATGATTTCTGACTGATCTTTTAATGAATTACCACGACTGTTGGTCCTTTATTATCACACAACCGATAAAAATCTTTGCTTGTGCAATCGAACCAGATTTTAAGCTTTTCTATGTGATGGTTGATAAAAGACAGAAATCGATGGATTCATGAATATTGATCAGATCGAGCTTAATTTCGGGGATACATGTACAGTACCCGCAGCCCAATTTACATGTGTAACCATTTTTTAAAAATCGTTTTATCAATTTTCTCTCTTTTTTTGATAATACAGTAAATATCACTTTGTTTCCCGTAACAACTTCGTCAATTACAAAATGCTTGAACATGATCCTACAACTGTATGTCGCTTTATTAACAAATATGACATCAGGAAAAATGAATACTCATCACGTTCAGGAAGATCACACCAGTCCTAAACAACCATGAAAAGAATTTATTTATACATGAAGTCAACGAAAACAACATTCATCATTATGTGAAAAAGTCAAAAATTTAGGTCTCACTTGTAGTTTATCAATTTATCAACCATTGCATGAAACCAGTGTGGAAATTGCAAAGCAGCCAAGAGTTTGGTGAGAAATGTTTAATGTTAATTATTTGGCTGCTACCTTAAAATTGAATGAAGATCTGTAACGGTAATAGTTTGGGGATGTTACACAGGAAAATTAAATTTTTTGTGATGAATATAAAAAATGACAAAAAAATAACTGCAAATACTTACCTTGAAATCTTAAGGCTCATTTATTTCCATTCCAGAATGCAATTAAGGAATTAACTCATACTGTGGGAAAAATTAAGGATTAGTTAACGGAAATTAAAATCAAGATTATTAATTGGCCGGTGAATTCTCCAGAATAGAGAAAATATTAAAGGACAATATTCAAAAAATGAAATTGTAGATGAGCTTAAGGTTGTATTAAAGATGTACTGTACATGTATAATAATAATTCATTCGATCACACAACGTAGTTTTCAACATTTGTGAATATGGTAGGACATTCTCAAAAGAAAGCACTCGACTTGAAGTGAAGAAATCTGATAGTAAATAAACAATTATGAAGTGTTGATTTGAGCTGACTGAACATGTTTGGAGTCCACCGATTTAAATTGATTCTAGATAGTTGAGAAGAATTTGTAATTCCCCATTTAATGACTTTATCCCAGATTCCACCTTCAGTTAAATTTAATCCAACAAGAATTAAATAAACATCGATTCTTCAAACTTGAAGAATTCGCTTGAGTTAAATAAAAGATTCTGAATTCTTACAGACGTGTTCTATGCAATATTCATGGAGCTTTTCTAAAGAAGGATATTCTGTTACGAGCTGATAAATCTGAAAAAAGTTATCTTCCAATGCGTTTTCATGATTCTCTGTGATATAAACTTGGATATATTGAACCAAGTCTTCCACTAATAGTTCATCCGCTGCGATCAAAATAACTAGAATTAACTCTAAACAAACTATAGAAATAGCTAATAAACATATATTGAAAAAATAAAATCGAAATTTATTTACGAATTGATACAATAAAAAGCTGCATCTGAAATTTTTACGGCCAAACCTTAGAATAATCTCAAAAATCGTTGGCTTCATATTAGGTCTATTGTAAGTCATTGGTCCGTTGTTTTCTTCTCTTCTGTTCCAAGCTTCAGACAACGCGAAAACAAAATAAAGAGATTGGGCCACCAAATTGCCGAGTGAACATGAAAAGTTTACTGTTCATTTATGATCGCATCTCCTGATATCATAAAGACTTGAAGATTCATAAAGTCGAAGAAGATTTTGATGGTGAGAGTTTTACAAGTTGGCAGCAACTAATTTGAGGAAGTATTTTGAAACGATAGAATTAATTTTCATAATACGTATCTTTTTAGGTGAGGTATTCCGGTACGAAGAGCCTTCAAATTACGTGTGACGAAAGATTGCTACATGTACAGTCGCCTCAAAAAGTAACGCCCGATTTGCATGTGTAACAACATAGCGTCGCGTTTTCCCATTTTTTGTTATTGTTGATCCCAATTTTTTTATTATTTTCTTCTTTTACTTTTAACCAATACACTAGATGAAATTTTTTAGGTGTAAATATGATACCTGTCGTACCAGTAGGCCATCTTTGACAAGGATAAAAATAATGATTTTTATGAAGCTATGAGTGTCAAGCAAGTTGCAAGAAAAATGTTGCGTAACCCGGTTAGAGTATAATGGTCTCTTGTCAAGTACAAAAGAAACAGGAAAAACAAAAATTTCTCACTATCTGAGAGACCATAAGCTCATAGCTATCAAGAAAAAAAATGTATATATGCAAGAAACTAAAAAAGACATCCCGAGCCATTTCATGATATTGGTAATAAAAAATCTGCGCAAAAACTTACCTGAAGATTCTCTAAGGTAATTTGATCCCTGAATTTATTTTCATTTTTTTCCTTAATGTAGATCAAGTTGTTCTCTCAAATCAAAAAAATATGTTGTAACCCGATGATAGTGTAATGGTCTCTTGCCAAGTACAAAAGAGATAGGAAAACAAAAATTTTTCACTGTCTGGGAGACCGTAGGCTTTTAAAAATCAAGATAAAAAATGCACAGCAAAAAAAGACATCCTGAGCTACTTCACAACATTGGTAATAAAAAATTCATGCAAATTCTTATCTGAAGATTCTCTAAGGTAATTTGGTCCCTTTTTATAATATAATTTGTTTATTGATTTGAGAGAGCATGATGTTTCAAAAAAATAAAACTTGATCTACATTAAGGAAAGAAGCCATGAATAGAATCAAATAGAGAAATCAATGAATATTGTGTTCTCATGACCCAAACTTCATAGAAATGTGTTCAAGTCATTGGGGAATAATATTCTAAAATGTAAAAGCTTCTCAAGGATCACGTAAAAACTCAAGACTACTCTGAAGGAAATTTGATGTGTTGGCTTTTGAGGAGGTTGTAGGCTGAATGTCTTGAGAAATCAAATCAATATTAGAGCCATATGAAGAGTTAATAATGTATTATCTATTGGTAAAAAAATAGTTCTATATTTATAAGACAGAAATTAAATAAATCTGAAATTTTATTTTTTAAAAAGATTGGGCGTTACTTTCTGTGGCGACTGTACATGTAGTGCTCCACCGTAAAAAATCCAAACCTCAATTTAATCCGAATTTTTTATACATGTAGAACTAAATAATTTTTTCACAAATAAATGAATTAAATTATAGTGTAATAATTCTCCTATTTACTAACCTTGAGGTTAAAATTGAGGTATAAATTTTTAGATTTTTTACAAGGGAGGTACTAAACCGCGATTTACGGTATATAAAGTTGATATACAGTCGTGATAAAATTATTATATAATATTGTGAAAAGATAATTTTTTTGTTTCGATGTAATTTATGTTTCCCTCTTATATTGATAATAGTTATCATTATCAAAATAAATTCCCAGACAATTGATTAATTATAAAAGCTTTTTGAAAGGAGCTCTAAACTCACTTCCTGCTGAGCCATTGAAGAAAAGCTCTCGATTGTCCTTGTATTTCTCATTCCTAAATTATTTATCGTTGATTGCTAGAAAACTAAAATATTGTCGTTTTTTACAAAACTTTCAAAACGTACCTGTCATTTCATGGCATAAGCTAAAAGTAATAAATATATGAGCATGATTTATGGATTTTAACTAAATTTAAAAATTTGCTCTTTGACAAGATCATTGTTGATGAAATTATGATGGAATCAATTTCAACTTTGAATATTATTTATCATTGCCTTTATCATTTTATTTTTTGGCTTGATAGATTTCAAAGAATTGCCTTTTTCAAAATTTTTTAAAAAGATAAATTTCAATTCGACGACATGCAGGAAGGAGTTAAATAAAAAAGTGATGCAGTAAACAAAAATTTAAGGCTTAAGGGATTGTTTGATTCATCAGCATCAACATCAACATCGATATTGTATGATATATCTTACAATAAACAAGAATAGGGATAATGATGATAAATATAAAATACATGTATATAAATACTAATTTTTTCGATTTCTTTTATTGATTACATTTATATTTACATTTTTGTGTTATCTTTGAGTGTCAAATTTTTGGTTTAGATATCTCGATGTCTGATAAACAACCGCAAACAAAATCTTCATCACAAGCTGCTGCTGGTTCCTCTTTTTTCAAAGGAATAATTGACTTCTTTGCTGACACAACCAAGAATGCTCAGCACGATTTTGTGAAATTTAAAGAAGGAATTTCGTTAGGATTTTTAGTCCAGCAACCTGATCAACAAAGAACCATGATGTCTGGAGAGGTTTGTCAATGACAATTTGTTTTTGTCATAGTTCAAGATGTAATAATTCTTCTTACTTACTCAAATTATGAAGTCCGAATATTTCACAGACTCTCGAGCAAGTTTGCATCCTAAACGACATCGAAAAAGACCGCCTGTATCACGAAATTTTGGCTCCAATTTTCAGAAAAGCAATAATAATAGTTACAAACCTAATTCGCTGAAGCAACATCAATCCGATGCTTTAGAAATCGAACGAGAGAGAAAATACAGGGAAAAAGAGCTCTGGCGTAAAATCGAAGAGTTAAATCAAAAAGTGGCTTTACTCGAAAAAATAGTATGTAGTATGTTTTAATCTTATATTGAAAATTTTTGCATCAAACCACACGATAATTTGTTATGATACAAAAAGGTCTCAGAATTACGAGCAGATCATCTAAATAATCTACAAAGTCATAGCGAAAATTATCATACTCAATATATTCCATCACCACCTCCGCCGCCACCAGTTACGCCAAAACATGAATCGTCGTTAACCACCCAAGCCCTTATTAGCCTCCGAAATAATCTAAAAGTACGAAATTGACATTAGGTTTTATCATTTTATTAAAAACCAATCCTTATAATACTTTATTTAACAGACAACAAAAAATCAAGAGAAAATCAAGACAACAACGTCAGCAACCAAAATAGAATCAAATAAATGTCATTTATTGCCGCAGCAACCATCACCACCAAAAGACATGACAGCTCTTTTGGAAGATTTGAAAAATGTAAAGCTTCGTAGAACTAATTTATTGCGGTAAGTTTCTTTTTTACATTATCGTATCTTCTATCAATCGTTTTACATTTATTGTTCTATATTTAGATCAACGAGTGGGTATATTTCATCAATTTCAACTCCGAATTCAGAACAGGGTGGTGCTTTAGGTTGTTTGCTACTCCGATGAATTTTTTCATTTTGTTGGCTTCATCATAAGTTAACTTGTTTTTTTAATAATTTTTATCAAGCATAGTTTGCAAGCACAAATTTCCGAATCACAGTCAATCATCTTTATCTTCCTCTCTATCCACCATTTCAATCGATTATGAATCTACGTACAATAACTTATCGTCATCATCAGCATCCACGATAACGTGCCAATCTGATGCTTATAAAGATTTAGAGAGTTTTCAAAATATTCTAAATTATCCGGTGAAACGTCAAAAAATTTAGAACATAACGATAAAGACTTCTTGATAATCTTTGCATAAATTGTTAGAATTACATAAGTTTGAGAAGTAGAATACGTAGTCATAAATCTGATTATTGTACACTTTATAAATGTCATTTTTTGAAGAATTTATAAACATGTGAAGATTCGATAATATATATATACATTACCAAAAATTATAGCTCTTTATATAAGTTAAATTTTATACTCCCAATTAAAGGAATTTGTACATGTACTTCTATTATGGAACCCAAGAACAATACGAATACATGAGCATGTACATGATATTGCATGTACGTGTATTTTAAATTTTCTTGAAACATTACATCTACATGTACTAGGCATCATCGTTATTCCGAGATTTCGTAATCGCGGATTTCTCGTTGCGATAGCAGCAATAATTTGATGGTTCAATTGTGTCCTTTACAATTAAAATTTTTCACTGATTGTGAACCCTCCTGCATGGAAGTTCCATCAAACAGTGATCTATCTTTAGATAACGATTACACTTCTATGAAGAATAATTTTTTATTTAAATCCTCGTCTCATTATGCGGTTTTACAATCATTTCAAAGTTTCAACATACATATGTTCATATTTGACGCAGTACGTGATCACTAAAAAATGGTTTATAAAGGGATAAAATTGCATACTCATGAATGTCATCAGGAAATTTTTTGGAGAGATATTCATTGAGAATCATTGCCATATCTGTAAAAATCGATAAATATCTCTCTGAAATATTAATATTAATTGACGACTCTGATGATCTTTGATAAATATCCATATCAATAATTATCAATTATTGTTAATACATTATTTATTGATTTATAATAATATATTGATCATTATTGCAATATATTATTTATTGATAACAAATGATATATGTTAATAGTTAACTCAAATGCTTGTTTTAAAACTAGCTTATCACATTAATATCAGTTTAGGTTATATAACCTAAATGAACATGCATACACTCACACATTCAATTATTTTCAAGACTTGAAACTTCTAAAACACTTTTTATTTAATATTAAAAAATATATCTATTTAATAAATATTTATTATTTTTTTCATATCTTAGTATAATATGTACTGTTATATCAACTGAATCTAAATAAACACATGTATATTATTTAGTCAACCATAATCTTGAACATCCATAGAGTTCTGTATTTTCATCTTCATTTTCTTCAAATGTATCATACCATTGTAATAAAGTAAGTTTTAATGGCTCATGGTTTTTTATGTAAAAAAATTCAAATAATAATAGTACCTAAATTTAA